TTAAGAAGTCTTAAATTCACCTGTACTCCATATCGTTTAAAATGGTTAAGAAAGACATATTTGAAACGATATATCGTAGTAAAATTTGGAGTTGGTGGTCAGTGTATTGGAGTAAAACTCCTGCTTTCAGTAGAAGATGATGTCGATGGCTGTCAGAAATCTTGGACGAGGTGCCAAACTAACATCGTAAGTTCTAATGTTTCTTCACTAAAGGAAGAATAAGTGGAGTTAAATAAGTTTAGAGTGGGAATGAGAATGAAGTATACACTGCCTGATCTTCCGTACGACTATAATGCCCTTGAACCTGTGATTAGCGCTGAAATCATGCAACTACATCATCAAAAACATCATGCAACCTATGTGAATGGATTGAATACTTGTGAAGAGAAGATTCAAGAGGCGCTTTCAAAAGGTATACCATTATATTCCAGTTTGGATCTATATATCTTAGTCTAAGTGCAGATATAATTTTTAGGTAAGGTTGAAGAAGCGATCGCTCTGCAACCAGCTCTTAAGTTCAATGGCGGTGGTCACATAAATCATTCCATATTTTGGACTAATTTGTCTAAGGATGGCGGAGAGCCAAGCTCAGAACTGATGTCCGCTATCAAGGTAAGCCTGAAATTTGACACCTGAATTGAGGAATTCTCAACTTTATTTGCAAAAGCCACCATTTTCAGTTTTTCCAACTTATTTTTCTGTTTTTTCAACTAGTAACACTAAATGAAAGTTTTTCAATAGAAAGATAACTTCAGAATATATTATGCCCATTCCAAAATTGGGGACAAAACCTTTGTAGAATCGTAGCAGTTGAGGAGGCCATTACTTAATAATGTTAGACTTCTATGAATGCCACTACAAGTGGCCAAGAGTTACAAATGGTAAAAGTTTTAAAAACACAATCATTTATCACGCAGGCCACTCTTGTATTCTACCGTCGCAGGAAGCCCCATAAAAGAACTAATGTTTCCCAGGTACTTAAATGCCTTGCTCTAAATTCATTTGTTTTATATGGACTTCTTCCGGTGCTGCGTATTCGCCCTGCGTTGCCACACCCATTGCTCAACTATGTAATTTTACCTCGCATAACTCGTACAAGCACCACAACAAAGAATTGAGGCAAGAAGAAATCAAGGAGACATTATTAAATACTGCTCTATATCTTCTTGGTTATCAAGATTTTTTATTGAAGAGAAATTATTAGAAATTATTGAAAACTTGTTAATGGAGATTGAATAAATAATAATTTAATGAAATTTTAAAATTATAAGCAAGAAGCCCCAACTACTGACCATGCCATCAACACATCATCTGTCAATGTAACAAATGATGTGCCAAAGGCATTTTGTTTTTTGAAAAACCAAACAAAATAGAAAATATCAGTTGAGAGTGAGCGAAAATCACTACTATAATAATCTTTTTGTTTTTTAGAATTGAGAGTTTGGACTTATCATGATCTTCCTAATTAT